TATATATATATATATATATATATATATATATATATATATATATATATATATATAGGACATGTTCTAGATAGGAACTCTATAGAATGCCTATATAGTTCCAATTAGTTCTTTAGGAATCGTAATGGAAATATTTATAAGGGCATACAGTGGTCACCTTGAAATCGAGAAGAACCGTTCTACTCCTGGATAATTCAACATTGACATATATTTCTGCAGGTATAAATGAATCTGTAACTGGTGTAATATGCTATTTTTAAGAGAAGTTGACTGCACTCTACCAGGGTACGTCACAGAGGATTTTGCACGATTCATCTGTACGAATTGTTGAGAACATTCGTGCCCCCACCTCGTGTAGAGAGACAGTTGGGGTGTGTGGTGCTGGTAATGGTACTTTTCTGTACAGGAAAAATTCTCATTTTTTCGACCCGATACTTCTGATTAACCCTTATTTGTGCTTACTGGTATCATATGGGGCCCTTAACTTCCATTCCTAGGAATGTCATTCCTGCTACACCGGCACAGTGGCACGTTTGTCAACAGGCAACGCACGATAAGAGAGACAAATAGTACGAGTAATTTTATTAATTAAGAGATTAGCTAACAGATATCACTGCGGTTAGTGCAGAGATAGACATCTTACATTTTAATTGAAAACTGATATGTTTAGAAAGTTTGTGAAAAACCAATAGTATTATAATAAAATGCAAGAAATGTTTATATCACATTCATAACACAATACACAATGTTTAATATAAAATTCTGCTTTGGAAAATCTTCATTAAGATGTAATGATTACATTTTTGTTTTATATTTTACTTATAAACATATTTGTAGTTCATTTTCACATCTGGACTTGAAGGCCTGCAATACTGAATAAATCAACCTAAATGTTACTGAAGAAAATCAAAGATAAGTTGCTTTGTAAGATCCTTGTACAAAGTCACATCAGCATCCTGCATTAAATTTACTCTTCATTAAAAAACAAAACTAACAAATGAAATCTGACCATATATATGTTCCACATTAATTACGGTAAGAAAAAGGCAGTTCTAGTGACAAAATGGACACCCAAAGAATGCATTATTTAAAGGCGTTAATAAGACACAGAACCATGTATACCAACGGCATTTTTGCATAATTAAAATGATAAAAAATCAAATTTAATTTCACTATAATAAAAGAACAATTGAAGGGGGGGTGAAAAGGAAGGTGGGTGCATACCTGGTGTCTGTTCATAAAAACCCAAAGGTGTAAAACACATTTTAACTAGAAATTAATCCTTATTTTAGCATCCTTTATTATGTTACCCATTCCGTTTATATAAGTATTTCAATTTCACAAAAGTGCAATCACAAAAACATCACATTTTGAAATAGAGACATTACATAAATGGCTTCAAATTGTTCCAAGTTAAGCTAAATAAGGAAAAATACTTTAAAAAATATTTTCTATATTTTATATTAACTTAATTTGGTCCATTTTTTATCAGGTTTAGCCTCCAGACTAACCTGAATTCACAAGAAAGAATGTTGTCCCTTACAAATAAAAATAACAAGTGCGTAGTTTCTGATAATACAGCACAGATAAACAAAATGAAATACAAAGTATGAATCACTGTGTTATATATCACAAATCCTCTTTTAATCTTAACAAAGTACAAGAAATGATATTTTTTTCTGAAAGCAAAAATTCTAAAAAGTAAGCCAGGCTAAAAAAAAAAAAAATCAGAAAATTATAAATCTTGAAATTATACAAAATCAATATGAGGAGACATATACAAAATCTATATATTATTACTACAGACAACTACACATACTGCAATATGTTTCTGCTGCTGCAAATCATAGAAATATGTATGGCAATTAAATCCATAACTTAGTTTTTATTTAAATTTTGTGCAAAAATGCAATCATCTCACAAGTTGTGACTCGGGGGATCAGCCACGCCCTCCAATATCTGGTAAAACATACCTTGCAAATAAGTTTAAAAGTATTTTTGATATCAACAGCTGTTACGTAGATTTTCAAAAAGACTCATAGAAAATTAAATCAGACAGCAAGGCTGACTGATATACAGACACATTAAACCAAAACCAACGAGAGAACTTCCAAGAAATCTAGGCAAAGATCAGGTTCATAATTAAAAAAAAATTAATGAGACTGAAAATTCTCACATCAACAAATGAAATATTCTTACTTCTTATCAAGCCAATGCAAGCTCCTACAAAGTCATGATTATTCTTTAGGTTTTAGAGGTAATTCCATACATATTTTGGCATAAAATCCAATCTTCCTTTTAGAATTTGAACCCCTTTCAAACATAGAAAAAATACTAGCAGATGTAAAGAAAAAATGTGGTGTGACAGCTTAAGGGCGAGTGATACTGAAATACCTGCAAGACTGCTGGTTTTCAAACTGATCTGCATTTTTTTTTTGCAGAGGACATGGAAACAATTTTTACTAAAACCTGGGGTTGCACATCACATGGGGTACTGGTTTTCTGACCAAATACAAATACATAGCACTGCAACTAAAAACATTTCATGCTCAAATCATGCTAATCAATTTTATACATTTTTCACACAATGACACAATCTCAATTTATCTCATATATGTGACAGTGAGCGGGATTGATGACAACAGCACTAATTGTGTTAGAGAAGAGGATTTATCACAGAGATATTGTGTTAGAGAAGAGGTTTTATCACAACAGGATTGATTGTGGTAGAGAAGACGGGTAGAATCTTATCAAGCTAGGATGGATTGTCAGGTGACATGGAGAACATATACTTATGTAAGGGTATATGCATGTGGAGAGAGTCAAATTCTAAATACAAAACAGTCCATATGAAAAAAGGAGAATTTGTAATTACTATTTTTATCTGGACGTATATTTTTTGTGATACAAACATTTCAATTAAAATTTTTAAAAAATTGGCATCTATGGGGTCAACAGCACAAATATATTCAAACTTTCACAAAAAGTTAGACAACTTCTGCAAAAAGAATAATTTATGTTACACTCACCCAATAACATTATATAATCCAAGTGCCTCTTGTGAGATGAATTACATATTATACCAGTATGTATAAAAAATGTAACAAGTTTGATAAGGCTTTTTGAAAAAACCCAAATAATATTGATTTTTCAGCTTATACTTCACTTCCACTATTTCGACAATACTCCTCAGGAAATTGAAAAATAAAGCAACAGCAAGACACGAGCAGACAAAAGTGATCTAGATATACACAGACACTCTGTGATGTCTGTATATCATCAAAAGTAAAAATTCCTTTTATTTCTGGCAGAGGCAATATCTTTTGTAGACTGCTTACACATGCCTTTGAACTCGTCTGCACAATTAAAACAGGCAGCACTCACACATGGCTTTTGCTCCATTGCAATTCTCACATAAACTTTCATCTAATTGCATTAATTCATTCAGAATCCTGCTAATTGTGAAAATACCCACACTTGCAAAATCTATGAAATCTCCAAACATAGTCAAAGAACTCTCCCCAAACATGTCCTTATCTCAGTGACAACAATAACCCTAACTTGCTCCACGTAATCCACTTTGTGCAGTCCGCAGACCGTTAAAACAGGTACTTGTACAATGTAGGTGTTCTTTCTGCTGCTCACACAATGGTTCCTTTCACCCCAGACTCCTGACAGCTGCTGCCCTCTGCACTGCTTGTATCACTCACTGACACTGTGGGAACTTGCTGGAATCAAAAATTGATCCTTTTCTAAATATGTATATCCTGAACAAAATCTGCAGTGAAAATCATCACCATGACCATTTCTTATTGCAAACAAAAAATAAACTAGCAGCATTTACATTTTGAAAAAAATTCTCTTTCTACTACTGAATCTAGAAATCCTGACCCTGCGCACATATTGGATTTCACAAATAATGGTCAAAAATAGTCAGTCCAATAAAATCATTATAAAAGAGGTCTACTGCAGCAATTAATTTGCAAGCCCCTTAAAGATCACCATTGGACCAAGAAAGAAACAAGGACAAAAAAGGTTCACCATATTCTCTGGTCCAACGTTATTTGGTACATGTTTCTCGATGCTGTCTTTATCTGCTCCCGTGGGTTCCTGCCTTTTCCTTGGTCTCCTCAAAGATAACTTGCGCTCATCAATCAAGGGGGAAGCCTTGGGCGAGAGGGAGCTTGGTTTGATCAAATATCTGTGAAGAGCAGAGAAATCTTTTAAATGACGTGAATTTCATGGTAACTGTTTGTGTTCATTAGTATAATACTGTATAATACTGTATTAGTATAATACTGTGTCATACATATGAATGTTGAGTGTGAAAAGACATAAGTGATGGTATAACTATATGTCAACTTAAGTTTATGCCACCAATGAGGGCAATGGCAGTTTTATTCCTCCCAAGTTTTCCAAGTTTTACACAAATATTTGCAACAGATGCATTTTTATTTTCAACAATATGTAAAAGTACATACTGAGAAATCAAAGCTCAGAGTTAACATTTCTGTAACACAGCATTCAGAACTGCATCATTTTGTGCTATGTTTTATCTCAAACCTCAGAGGAAGCTCAGAAAATCAGATATCTTAACTGAATGCAAGTTATCCGACTTTCATCAAGAAATTCCTCAACCAAAAAAAAAAAAAAAAAAAAAAAAAAAAAAAACAGGCTTACATTTTGAGCTGTGCATTAAACTTCAGCTAAATCTTTTCAAAGATCACACCACACTGTCTGGTTAATTTTGAATGCAGAACAGGCCACAATGATACTCATTCCCCACATGCAGATATAGACAAATTGGCTTTACTCCCAAACTGGCTTTAATGATTACCAATGTTGAATCACGATTTAAGAGGGTTTGAAAAGTCAAAATGCTACTTAATTTCCCTTTTTTTTGGTAAAGATTTTATGCCCGGACTTACACAACATCATCTGGTTCCAGTTTCAGATCATAGCTAGGATTAATGATGACGTAAGCAATGTGGTCTCTTTTTTCCATTGTATCATCTGAAAGTAAAAGCAATTGGATACATAACAATGCATTTAGCAATTCAAACATATCAAGGTTCCAAACCTCCTGAGTACTATTCAGGTAAAGAAAACTTCCAAGTAGATATCCATTCAATTCCTTTTTAGTCACAGGAGATGGCGCAGAACAAAAGAACCAGACGTGATATATCTGGAAACCATGCTTGTCACACATGCCAGTTGCATCACGCCCGGGTCTTTTGTTCTCCACATCCTGTAATGAGTCAGTTAGATACATCACTCATCAGTATGGTATCTGAGACATACACAAGTACTTCATCCTCCTGTACATCACATACACTGCCCTGACTCATGGTGTATCTATGGCCTCATTCAGGATAGGGGACTAACTAGTCCGAGGGTCAAATACGGCCAAGCCACTCGAATACTTCCCCACAGGATATCTATTCAGTGGATTAGACTGCAAGCTTTGTAGTGGGTCACCATATTAGGGTGCTTTCCCAGAGATTTAGATCGATCTAAAGATTAAGATTTAGATCGACCTAACTCCCTGGGGGTTCACGCTAAATTGCAGTCAGCCGAGCGGGCACCATAGTTTATTACCCCCTTACAGCTTTTAGTAGGCAGGACAGACGCTTAAGCCGGTCAAGCTGACAGTAATCTAGTGAGACTCCCAACAGGGATAGATCGATCTAAAAATCTATGGAAATGGGGTGTTAGACCCTCAGACTAGTTAGTCCCCTATTTTGAATGGGGCCTATGACTGTGTTCTCCTAACCTTATCTATCTCAGCAGGGATTCTTGCCATGGTACAGTCAATGCAATCACCTTAATTGTCAAGCACGCCCTTTCCCAAAGCAACATCCCTTAGCAAAATGAAAAGTTTGCAGCAATATTGGGGCAAGAATTTCTTGCAAATTTGCAGTGAATTTGCAAGAGAGTTCGCAGGCCTGATATTTTGCTAATAAGGGATGAACAACATCATGTACCACAAAGTTTTCCTGTCTTTACCCTAGTAACTAAAGACATTTAAGCCACTTAAACTGAATGCAATTTAGAGATAATCCCCAAGGAGTTAGATTGATCTAGCTCGTGCAATAACGTTATTGGAACAGGGCATATTACATAAACCCTCAGTGTAGTCCTGTAGCTGGGGGGGGGGGGGGGGGGG